ATTCAGGAGATCTTCCCTGATCAAACCCAATCCATATCAATCCTGAAGGAATCTACAGCCTCTCATTTCCTGTGGAACAAAGCAAAACCTCTTCTCTAAAGCCACACATTTTTTTGAGTTCCATTTTAAAGTTAAGGCATTCTTAAAATATCTAGGCTGGTTTATTTCATCAGTCCCTCTTTCAATCCCATGTCTCTTAGCACCAGTCACTTGCTTATCAGCAATAAAAAAAAATTCAAGGTTATTACACCAAGATACAGAATCCAGACTCCCTGTGTATTTCCTGTCTCTATGTGGCTTATTCTTTTTTATTATTATTATTTTACTTCTCCCTTTAAAGATTTTATTATTTTTAAACTATTTTTTTCTCTATGATTGTCTATATCCTTTCTCTTTCTTTCTTAAGCCTATGCACATTGTTAAACACATTGTAACCTATTTAGAGGTTTTTTTTTTTTTTTTCCCCATCTGGAACTGTCTTTACTGTGTATCTCTAGTCTTTTTTGACTGTATGATCCTTTAAACTGCTAAGCAGCACAGGCTAGAACTCCTGGGTGGCTTTGGTGGCTGGCTCTATCCACTTCTTGGATCATGAGAGCCAAGCTTAAAGCTCAAGGCCTGGTTGGAGGCGCATTTAATCAGGAACTACATTCAACTCCCCAACTCTGAAGTGCCAGTGCCTTGCATTGTGGCAGGCATTTTTACTTAGTTTTTTCTTCCCACTTAACCTACCAGCTGTTCAAGGGCTCACTGTCTAGCAGAAACTCTTGAAGGGACCATATTCTCTCTCTCTCTCTCTCTCTCTCTCTCTCTCTCTCTCTCTCTCTCTCTCAGCTTTCTTAGGCCCTATATGGATTTTTGAGAGCCTCACTACTCCTTACTCTTTGCTCTTAGGGATTCTGCCACCCAGCTCCCAAATAAATACTGAGACTTATTCTTACTGATAAATACTTGGTCTTAGCTTGGCTTGTTACTAGCCAGCTTTTCTTAACTTAAATTATCCTATCTATCTTTTGCCTCTGTGTTTTTACCTTTTTTTCTATTCTGTATTCATTTCTTTCCTTCTTACTCCATTTTCAGTTGTGTGGCTTGGTGGCTGGCCCCTGTCATCCTCCTCTCCTTTTCCTTTTCTCACTCTCCTTCTCTTTTCTTCTCTTCTCTTCTCTCCTTTTTGTTCTCTGCCTGCCAGTCCCACCTATCCCTCTCCTGCCTAGCTATTGATCATTCAACTCTTTATTAGACCAATTAGCTGTTTTAGACAGGCACAGTAACACAGCTTCACAGAGTTAAACAAATGCAACATAAAAGAAAGCAGCACTTCTTTGTATCATTAAACAAATACCCCACAGCATAAAAGCATGTAACACATCTTGACTAAGATTCCACAATAGGGCCCTGATACAAGAGGGTTACTGTTCTCATAGGAAGAGATGAGTGAGCATGCGTTCTCCTCCTCCAGGGTGTGAGCTCAGGAAAGGCACAGCAGCACCCTCTCCGTGTTTGCTGACTTGTGGGTCCTGGAACACTGTGACAGCTGATGCCAATTACCAACTTGATTGGATTTGGACTCATGATGGAAGTGAATCTCTCTCTGTGTATGTCTGTGAGGGTTTCGCTAGATTAGGTTAAGTAAAGGGGAAGACTGACCCTAAATGTGGGCATCACCATCCCCTGCTCTGGGGTCCCCCCACTGCATAATAGAGGGAAAGGAACTGAGAAGCAGCATTCATTGCTATCTTCTCCTGCCCTGACTTTGAGTGAAATGTGACCAGCCTCTTGTTCCTGTCACCACACCTTTCCCACCAGGATGTCCTGAACCTTCACACTGTGAACCAAAGTGACTCTCCCTTCCTTGTTTCCTGTGTCAGGTGTCTTGTTACAGTACAAGTCACAAATACAAGTCCTAACCATAAGAACTCTGTGAGGTGTATACCCTGCCAGGCACCCAGTCTGTGGGATCCAGCCTGAATGGGAACTAAAAATCCTCTTAGGACGTGATTAGGACTTAACTCTGAACTTGATTTTAGGATGACTGTGTTGGGACATCAGGGAGTCACAGTGACATGGGGATCTATTTCTGCCCTGTCTGAGATGCACTACAGAATAATCTTCCAGTCTCCTCCCGGGGCTTTTACCTGACTTCAAACTTTCTCCATCCATTGTCCTCTTATCTCCTGAGTCATTTTTACACAATCCATAACATACAGGTACATAAAATAGTTAAAACGAGTCAGACATTTGCTAGTGATAAACCATACAGAAACTTGTTTTAAAACAATTCTTTGGCAGAAGTATGATTTTGTCATTTGTTAAGGGCAAATGTGCTTATTTTTCATAAATGATTAAATCTTGACTATTTGATACAGCAGGATGTAGCAGATCTTCAACACTGAACATTTTTTTTTATGAAACTAAACCAATGATCCAAAAATCCACTTTAAGAAGCAAACACTGTAACAATACAATCTACAGACAGATTAATTTGGGCTAGACTTGGTGGTGCACACTTTAATTCCAGCACTCAGGAGGCAAGGCAGGGGACTCTTAGTGATTTTCAGGCCAACCAGGGCTACACAGTGAGATCATGTCTACAAAAACAAAACAAAAGCTATTAAAATTTGATAATGTTGTGCTGAGGAAGGACAGTAGGAAGTATGCAATGATTTTCTTATCCATTTTATTTTATTTTTGATTATTCACTGTTGTTAAGAGTTTCACACTTAGCAGATTTAGCTGCACAGGTACCCCAGTAGGCTATTGACCCACCATTTTAAGAAGGTGTGTTATAAGTCACCTGAAGAAAGGCTCTGGTGAGCTTCACATATTCACATTTACCATCAACTCTACCTGGTACTCTACTTTTATGAGATAAAAACGTTCTGTCTGGGGCAGGAAGCTATTCTACAGCGTCGACATGCCCTCTCCACCCTCTGAGCTGGTTCATTGTAAAGAAGTTCATATAATGTTATGACACCACACACATTGTACACACACGTGTGCAAACACACACAAACACACACGCACACACATACACACATGCACAAATAGATAAAAAAAAACCAAGCAGCTCACATCTGTTGACAAGAACCATCAAGTAGAACTAGGAGAAAGCCTACAAGGAGGAACCATAAGAAAAAAAAGAAGGGCCTGGAGAGATGGCTCAGTAGGTAAGAGCACTGACTGCTCTTCCAGAGGACCCAGGTTCAATTCCCAGCACCCACATGGCAGCTCACAGCTGTCTGTAATTCCAGTCCCAGGGGATATGACACCCTCAGACAAAACGTCAGTGCACATAAAATAAAAATAAATAAATTAAACAGAAAGAAAGAGGATCAGCTACAAACATGAGCAGGTGATGAATATTCGTCAGAAAATCTGCTGATACGGAGATGAAAACCACGACAGGACATGCTCACAGAATTATTAAAAACAGCAACAACAAAAAAACAACTTGGGCTGGGGAGGCGGCTTGATAGGTCATGCAAATATGAGGTCCTGAGTTCAAATCTCCAGAACACATGTAAAGCTAGCTGGACTGGGAGCAGAACTTGAAGCAAAAAAGAAAAAAAAGATTTGTTCATAATAAATTTTTGCATGAATCTCAACACCTTATTAACTATTAGTAGTGATTATAGAGCATCTGTTATTATAAACTGTACACAAAGGCACCCAGTGTTTCTTGGGTTACACTCCCAACCTTCATAAAGATGCTAGATAACATTTCCCTCCGATTCCAAATCATTGTACATGAAATGATCCTTATAGACGCTTGTCATTTGTCACTGACAGGTCCCTTAAAACACACGGCACTAGAAAAGGTTGTCCTTAATCTGGTTTCCATCCGAGAATAGTGGTGTCAGTCTACTATGTTCATGCCACTCACCTCTGAGTTACTCATCATCTGCTAGTCAGTATAGGTGAGCATCAACCAATGCCCCAATTCATTTCTTTCTGTCGCCTTCCTCCTCCTCCCTCTCCTCCTTCCACTTCCTCTCTTCCTCCTCCCCCTCTTCCTCTTCTGCTAGAGTATGCTCTCTAGCCATTAAACCCAGGGCCTCCTGCATGCCTTGGGTTCACCATGAAGCCCCATGCCCAACCAGCCCTCACTTAGATACTAACATACACATTTCGAAGGCCACAAGAGCATTGTGGGAGCTGCAGGTGACTTCACAAAGAGTTCGCTGATAAGAATGACACTGGGTGGCTTTTGAAGATTTACAGGAGAGAGAGAGAGAGAGAGAGAGAGAGAGAGAGAGAGAACAGTCTCTTGCTGAATTTCAGGCTCTGAGATTGTGTGACAGAAAATCACACGGAGCAACATTCAGAAGGGAATCGGGGAAGTGGAAGAGTTTAAAATATACTACTGCAGCATATTTTCTGTATAGAAAAAAAAAAAAAAAAGGAATATTCTGGCAGCCACAAGCTTTGGTTCTTTGAACACCTCTAGGCATCCGGGAAGTGTTTTTTTGCGAAGGGCTCAGAAGTTGATTTGTTTGATAAAAAGCGAGATTGAGGTACAGGGAATAATGAGGTCAGACGGTGTGTGCTAATTAGAAGTTGAACGAACAGGGCAACAGACGTGAGTTTTTATTAATTTTCATGGGAAATCACTAGGCAAGAAAAAAGCGTCTTCGTTGAGCTGTTTTCGTCCGATTTCTAGGGGTTTCTGCCTCGAATCCTCTATCAAGAAGCAGGAGTTCTGTGGACTGAAGCACCAAGCCTGAGTGAGGATGAGCTATCAGCAGGTCCTTTAGTTCTGGTTGGGGAGATGGGTCACCACGTGACGGAGAGTTGAAGGAGCAAAGCTTAAGGAGTCTGTCCCCAAAGAACGGAGAAACCGAAGAGAAGCAAATTGTCCGTCGGCGCCTCCCTATCTACTGTGTCTTCAAACCTCTTGAAATCAAATTCATTAAAAAGTGGGGAGAGGAAGAGAGAGCCAGTCAGGGAGGAGAGGCTTGGTGACTCGGAACCCCCCCCCCCCCCCCGCCCGGGAAACACAGCTCTGGTTATTCTTTCTAATGATTAAGTCTGTTTCAAATGAGAAAATATTGATGGTAGATTTGTTAATCCTAACGGAACACGCAGGAGGCATTGTCCTGCTAACAGTGCCTTTTAAATTCCTTAGCTCAGAGCCTTTTCCTTGGTGATAAAATAGTTCATTGTGATTTCACCATTCCGAAAATTCCCCGCATAGCAGGAAAGACTGCAAATGGAGAAAATGTAAAAGAAAATGCGATTGTGATCCTGTCATTACCTCGAGCTCTTAACATCCAATACTCTCCCTCTCATGTCTCCCTCTTGTGTCTAGGGATACTAGAAAGGAGTGAGATCCAAAGCAGGCTGCTCTGTGGAGCTAGGACACCCCCTCCCAAATGATCTGCATCTAAGCGGCTCCTCAAGGCTCTGATTTTTCTTGCTCCTATGGCAGCACTTGCTGGCTATCAGCTGCCAGCAAGCTGGTGTCAGCCATCCGAGGACTACTAAACTATCAGGTCTGAAATGGCTGCATTTCAGGTGGGGGGATGATCCAGTCAACTCTATGCTCCAGTCACATAGCTCGTGTGAATCCTAGTAGAACTTAACACCTCTTGTGATTCACTTCCTCCAAGTTAATTGTATCCGTCATCTTCTATAGATGTCTTCTTTGTGCTCAATATCTGATACCTGCTGGTTGCTCCAAGCCTGCTCCTGCCTCTGTGGAGATGGTCTTCCCAGTACATTGAGGGAAGAGGCCATATCTTTTCTACCTATCTGTCTACCTATCTATTATCTATCGTTTTTCTTAAGACAAAGTCTCATGCATTCTAGGCTGACCTGAAATTTGCTCTGTAACTGAGGAATGACTTTGAACTCTTAATCTCCCAAATGCTGGGATAACATGCAAGTGTTATCATCTCTAGTATTTTCCTTTTATGTGATGTTGAGGACTGAACACATATGTAATGCAGATTTTGTTTGTTTGTTTGTTTTTTGAAACAGGGTTTCTCTGTGTAATAGGCTTGGCTGGCCTCGAACTCACAGAGATCGGTCTACCTCTGCCTCCCCAGTGCTGGGATTTAGGTGTGCATCACCAGGCCCAGCTGCAGATTTTTTTTTAATACGCTTAAAATGTTTTCTCCTGTTGTATTTAAAAATTCAGTCTTAACCTTTTCTCACCCCAAGAGGAATGCTTGCAGTTTTCTGTAGAAGGAAAGTCTCACTTCTTCAAGTAGCTGAACTCTGAACTTCCCAGACTCTCATCCTGGTTATTTAACACTAGAAAACAGTTTCGTCTCTCTCCACCAGAATTTCTTCCGGTGTTTCTTAAAAGTGTCACTGAGATATATTTCTCTAACACAAAACAAATGAGTGACTTTAGATGGCTAATCTTAGTTGTCAACTTAACACCGTGGAAAGAGGGACCCCCTCAGTTGAAGGAATTAAGGAGTTCCCTCCAGCAGATCAGCCATGACCATGTCTGCAGGGCATTTTCTTGATGCTAATCAATGTAGGAGGGACCAGCCCACTGTGGGCAGTGTCATCCCTAAGGCAGCTGTGCTTGAGCTGTCTAGGAAAGCTAGTTGAATGTGATCCTGGGAGGAAGGCAGTAAGCATCCTTCATCCTTGGTCTCTGGGAGGGATGGAGGATGTCACTGAATGTTCCAGAACAAGTGAATGACAGGATGAAGTGGGAACTGAGTTTTTCATGTTTAGCTTCCTCCTCCCCTACCACACTGCTTCCTTGTGAGGTACTGGCCTTTCAGCCCCAGAGAGGCAAGCCAAGGCTGCCCAGGACTCACTCAGGGAGCGCCCATGTTGGAACCTCCCAGCCCCATTTCACCTGCCTCCCAGGAACAGTTTTCCCAGTTCCTGCCTTGAGCTCCTTTCCTGGCTTCCTTCAATGATAGACTATAACCTGCCAGCTGAAATAAACCCTTTCCTCCCAAGTTGCTTTTTTTTTTTTTTTTTTGGTTTTTCGAGACAGGGTTTCTCTGTGTAGTTTTGCGCCTTTCCTGGAACTCGCTTTGAAGACCAGGCTGGCCTCGAACTCACAGAGATCCGCCTGCCTCTGCCTCCCGAGTGCTGGGATTAAAGGCGTGAGCCACCACCGCCCGGCCCAAGTTGCTTTTATCGCAGCAATAGGGAAGCAAACCAGAGTAATTATGAACCATGATTTAGATGCAGAATGTTCCCCTTGTCCGGTAAAGTACCCTGTGTCAATTTGCAGTCAACACTAACTTCTCCCTCTCCTGTCTCCAGCCCACAATGACTGCCCATCTACTTTCCAGCTTGAATATTTTTCTTTTCCTATTATTTATTCAACTTATTTATCCTTTCACAATTTCACATATATGTGTATATGTAATGATTGTCTTTCCCCCATTATCCTCTCTTATCCCTTTTTATATCCCATCAATCCCCTTTTCTTCTCATTTTCTCTGGATTTTAACAGTATGGAGTGATATACCTTACTCTATACATGGCCCTTGTTCCATTAGCATAGTGCTTTTGAGGTTCATGTAGGTCACATCAAGAAGCAGTGTTGAGAACGCATTTATATGATTAGAGAACATGTTTTACTTTTTTAGATTTTAGTTTGTGTGTGTGTGTGTGTGAGTGAGTGAGTGAGTGAGAGAGTGAGAGTGAGAGTGAGTGAGTGAGTGAGAGAGAGAGAGAGAGAGGGCTACCAAATCCAATTTCTGCTACCTATACACTCATGGGCATCAACTGTCAATAACTCCTCAGAAGTAGGGGCTCAAGAACCCCTCTTCCCTCTGTGCTAGAATATTGGCTGGCTTGATCCTGTGCTGCTGGGGGTGCAGTGGTCCTATCATGTCCTGAAGAGACCATTTTTCTCTGGTCCTCCTGGACCTGTGGTTATCATAATCTTTCTACACGATTTTCTATGATGGTCCCTGAGCCTTGAGGGTCAGGGTTCATACAGATGTCCCACTTGTAGCTGAACGCTCCATAGATACTTATTCTCTTCATTTTGAACAGTTATGAGTTCCTGCTGCAGCATGGTTTGGTTGGTACCAGCCTGGCATCACCTCATTTGCCATTGCTTTACTTTTCTGTTCACTCCCCAGCAGCCTTAACTAGGGTGGTGGCACACTCCTACACTCAAAGTACTTTGGAAATGGGGGCCGAAGGATCAGAAGTTCAAGGTTATCCTCAGCTACATAATGAGTTTGAGGCTAGTCTAGGCTACAGGAGACCGTCAAAAATAAATGTTAGTTGTAGGTGAGACCTGGGGTGGTCTCTGGCCTGGCCTAAGCTCTTGTTTTACCAAGTGAATGTAGAATGATGCCGGTCTCTCCGGACCTTCCCTTGTGGAATATACTGGATTGTAATATCTTCAAAGGCAGGGCATGCCTCTTCTGGTGCTGCCCTGCTTCTCAGGAATGCCAAGACAGGTGCCTCAGGATCCTGGGGCCATGGAAAAATTAGGTTAACGAAGGCCTATAAATGAGTTTTGCAAATAACAAAACTGCACCTTTGAACTCTCAAACTTTGATTTTGTAAAAAAAAGAGTATAAATCTTTGCAACATATTTTACATTTTCTTTTCTCATAAATTGGAGGATATCAGACACCATTGATTATTTCCAGCTCATCTTTTCCCTCAAATTATAATATAATTGTGTGTGTGTGTGTGTGTGTGTGTGTGTGTGTGTGTGTGTGTGTGTGTGTGAGAGAGAGAGAGAGAGAGAGAGAGAGAGAGAGAGAGA